TGCAAGACATCAACAGCTGCAACGCGGTCACAAATTGGCTACTTGCGCTGTAAAACTTGACCGGTATATTAAAACGGTGATATATGGCTCAGTATTACGTATTTGCTATCGATACACGTAAGGAACGTCATATAAATGTCCAGTGATTTAGTATTATATGATTACGTATTTACAGCATGTAATGAATAACATATAGCTGAACATTATGATTGTGATGTAGCCCAATATTACGTATTTACGACCTACAACACGTATTGATTGTCATGTAGGTCAGTATTACGTATTTACGACCAACAACACGTAATGATTGTCATGTATCTCAGTATTACGTATTTACGACCAACAACACGTATTGATTGCCATATAGCTCCGTGTTACGTATTTACGACCGACAACACGTAATGATTGTCATATAGCTCAGTATTACATATTTACGACCGACAAGACGTAATGAATATCATATAGCTCAGTATTACGTATTTACGACCAAAAACACGTAATGATTGTCATGTAGCTCAGTATTACGTATTTACGACCAACAACACGTAATGATTGTCATGTATCTCAGTATTACGTATTTACGACCAACAACACGTATTGATTGCCATATAGCTCCGTGTTACGTATTTACGACCGACAACACGTAATGATTGTCATGTAGCTCAGTATTACATATTTACGACCGACAACACGTAATGAATATCATATAGCTCAGTATTACGTATTTACGACCGACAACACGTAATGATTGTCATGTAGCTCAGTATTACGTATTTACGACCGACAACACGTAATGAATATCATATAGTTCAGTATTACGTATTTACGACCGACAACACGTAATGATTGTCATGTAGCTCAGTATTACGTATTTACGACCGACAACACGTAATGAATATCATGTAGCTCAGTATTACGTATTTACGATCGACAACACGTAATGATTGTCATGTAGCTCAGTATTACGTATTTACGACCGACAACACGTAATGATTGTCATGTAGCTCAGTATTACGTATTTACGACCGACAACACGTAATGAATATCATATAGTTCAGTATTACGTATTTACGACCGACAACACGTAATGAATATCATATAGTTCAGTATTACGTATTTACGACCGACAACACGTAATGATTGTCATGTAGCTCAGTATTTCGTATTTACGACCGACAACACGTAATGAATATCATGTAGCTCAGTATTACGTATTTACGACCGACAACACGTAATGATTGTCATATACCTTCCATACACACAGGTTGTTGACGTACTTGTAGAAAATTATCTCAATGTTGTGTACAACTGTGCCAAGGGAGGTGTCAGTCGTCAATATTTTAACGATCACGGCGCAGTTGACATCATTATGCCATACACCAAGGCCAAAGACAATTCTACCAAGGCCCTGGCAGTAATGGCTATTGCTTACATTCTAGAAGAAGGTGAGCAGAATGAATTAATAGTGGCCGATGATAGTATGATACATTACGTGTTGGCAATGTTCTCAGAGGCCATGGATTGCTCCAATAAAGTTTCACTAGAATCGTTTTCTGTCGAAGTAAGTTTGTCCGAGTATATATATGTGGCATACGCAACCATCACCATTTAATCCATTATAAATAAATGTTAATGTAGTTATTCTTTGATACTACCGAGCTAAATAACACATTCACTTCATTTTTATAAAGTCACAGTTGAAACTAAAACGAGATTTGTATTGGCCGATATAATCACAGACACCTCTTTAAATGTCGTAATTGAGAACTGCACTCGTTGATTGTCTGGTCGGAAATTTATAATGTTGGTTCAGTATTACTGAAACTATACTAAAAATGCAGCACTTGGAACCTAAAACATTTTGCTAGTATATTCTGAGAGTGATCGGTGATTGTAAATGATACTGTGGAATAATGACTCAAAAATTATGTTTGTCTAACAGGAGCTGGCACAGGGACTAGGAAGCCTAGCAAACCACTATGTATATAAACAGATCATAGTCAGACATGGAGCTTTACAGTTGCTAGTAAGATTGATGAAAGAAGGAGACGACAAAGAGACATATTGGGCCATTCGTTGTATTCGGACGTTGGCATTCAACGATGATAATATTAAGGAGAGGATTAAGAAAGAGCCGGGCGCAATTAGCACCATTCAACAACTGCAGTCACATGACGTACAGGAAGTAAGACAAGCCGCAGAAAATGTACTGTATATAATAAGGAGGTCAGAAACTTGTCCGAGGTATGCATTGTGGGTAATACAGGGAGATCAATCAAGAATTTATTTGAGGTATGCGTTGGGGTAACACAGGAAGAACAGGGATTTATTCCAATCTGATTAAAATCCGATGTAGGTATGAGGCTTTTTTTTTTTTTTTTTTTTTTATATATATATATAAACCTTTATATTATATTTATT